GACCCTAGGTTGACAGTGGGACTGGGAGAGTGGCAGAGTTCAGTCCTGTTACAATCGAATGGTGTGGAGACAGGGGACGAAAGTGAAAGTGAAAAAGTGTTGTCCTGTGAACCTCTTCACGGAGAAAATAAAAAATGAATTTCAACTACAGAATGGGAGGAGAGATCTTGGTCAGTGAACAAATGTGGGAAAGTCTTAGAGGTGTGGTTAACTCCAAATTTAATATTTAATGTGTAGGAAAGTCAGAATCATCGCAAATACTAGGGCTTTTATTACGTTCATGCGAACATTTTGAAAATACTATAGTTTAAGAACTGTTTACATCACATTAGTCAGACTTGAATACTGCGATGAAATTTGGTCTCCCTGGTGACCCATTCGATGACCCATCAGGCGTACGTGCCGGGGAACAGTTCTTCTGGTGGGGTCCAACTCCTCGATAAATTAGTTTTGACTGTTGAAAGATATTTCATGAAGCAACTGTATACTGTAGACACGGATACGCATGTTAACGCTAGTGCCAACTCCTGTTACTAACAGATCAGGAACATCGGCTCCTGTTACTACCAGATCAGGAACATCGGCTGTATCTGGCAGTTTATAACTGCATACAGATGCATGCAATATTTTGGTGCATTCACTTGTTACCTCTCGGTTGCATTATGGTAATGGCATGCTCTGTGGTTATCTGACAAACTAACTAGTCGTCTGCAGAGGGTCGGGAGGTTTACCTGTACGATACAGGTCACAGTACAAAATGTTGGTGTACACATACAAGACACTGAAAGGAACAGCTCGCCAGTATTTACAGGAGCACGCCACTTTGCAGCAGCCGTCACGATCACTGCGGTCGGAGACAGACTCATTGTTGTGTTCCCAAAATCTTGTACTGTGACCTATTTGAAAGGGATTCGTCCACGTTGTAGAATAGCTTATTATCTGCCATCAGGAGGTCAACACTTTGTGGCTAATTTCAAGAAGGACATAAACACGTCTACATTTTAGGCTCTTTGCACAGACGACATTTATATGCATATTGAAATAAATGTCTCGTCACTTAATGTGTAATGCTGATTTGTATGCCTTTTTTATCTACATTATAATTGTCACTGTAGGAATACTATTATTTATGTGTTATAAAGCACCTTTGAGATTTTTTTACAAATTATATAGGTCGCTATATAAACGTTGTACAGTGAATTCTGTATTGAGGGCCGTCCCAAGGGAAATTTAAATAACGGTCGTTAAATAAAAGTGGTCGTTTTATAAAGTTTGACCATATTTTTTGTACATAATTACAACCGAATATTATAACCGAATGGCTCATTATTCAGACAACTGTAAACAGACCACCACCCCAAGTGCACATTTACACATGTATGTTCAGGTTGTTTATAACAACATCGTTTAATATATCAGGTGAATAACTAAACAACAGCCAAGTGATAATTATGACAGAAAGCAAACAGTGTTTGAGTCGTGTTGTATATATTACCATTACCCAACGGCATGGGTCTATCTCGATTTTTCAATACCTATGTGCTAGCGAGGCAGAAAATCTCAGTCATCTTGCAGCCGACAATGAGTTCTCTTCGTAAGATTGAACCCTAGATGTCAGCTTGTGTGTATTCTTATACCAATTATCAAATTTGTACACATGTTTCATACTCCAAACAATTTGGTGTTCTATTTTAAAGTTCTGATTTTGCTGTTGATCCTCTGCAATGACATACAAACTAACCCAGGCCCAGCTGATTCTCTAAATAACAACTAAAGTGCATTTTATCATGATAATGTTACAAAAAGTCATGTAAATGTTTGTTCTCTAAGAAACAAAATCAATGTTATTGAAGGCGAATTCTCAGAGATTCGTTAAAGATACAAGACGCTTTAAGTAGATTACACTTACTTGTTCATCTCATGACTTTTCTGTATGGAATGATACCAGTAAATAATTGTACTATGTGCTGTCCACCAGCATAATTTCAATTGCCATTTTTTGTAAAATCTAGTTTTTGTACAACCATTACCAAAAATAATAATTAATAATGACATGCAAATATCAATATCCATGTACATAATATACATGTTTTATCATTACTTCAATTCAATATGATGTGTGTAAACTGTTTATAACTGTAAAGAGAGGGCCCAATTCCTTTGTATCTAAGATCTGAACAATAAATATTCTGAAATGTAAAAATGAATTCTCAGATACTGATATAATATGTTTACCTGAAACTAATTTAAATAAACATATTGCTGATAGTGATATCCTCCTAGATGACCACAAAGTTATATTTAGGAAAGACAGAGAAACACACAGGGGTGGAGGAGTGGTAGTTTATGTAAAAGATTATCTGTATGCTAAAAAAGGAAAATACTTAGAAATTGATGGAATAGAAACCCTATGGCTGGAAGTTAAAATCGATGAAAAAACGTTCTTAGTTGGATGCATATATAGACCACCGAGGGGACTATTGGTTTTATATAATAGCTATATTTTCAATTATAGTATATCAATTCTATCTTCTTGTAATATGATGTATATGTACATGTAACTGTTCTGTTTCACTGTGTCTTGAAAAAGGAGCGGATCGCTCTGAAAATTTGATAACCTATACTTGTCCACACTGTTGGAATTACTTCTTTGCCCCATATATATTTACATATAATATACCAAGATTGATTGATCACAGGGCAACAAATGTCAAGGGACTTTATGTGGTCATGACACTTAAGGTATGATGGAGTAATGTAAATCAATAGTTATGATTAATTAATTATTGAAAAACTAATAATATATAATGAAATACCAAAATGCCATATATTTGTATCCTTTGAACTAGTGTACTTTGTTATCATATTTAATGCCCAACTGCACATTCATTTAAAACAAATAAATACTATATTAAATAAACCAACAGACACATGCCAGTAGATACAAATGTGGTGTTAGAGTGCATGAGTGAGTGAGTGAGGTTTTTTTTGTGTTCTTATATAAATATTTTTGTCTTCTTTTTGTGTTTTCATATTTATTTATTTTTTTATTTTTTATATTTTTTTTTCTGTTCTCTTTTAGTTAATTTTCTGTTTGATTTTCCAACTCATCTCAAGACCTGTCTACTTCAAATAAGTCTTGGTACATTTCTTTATCAGCATACATGCATGTATCAGTTTTACTTTATTTCATGTTGCCGTAGCAAATTTTAGTTGCTCAAGGTAAAGACGTATATCCATATATTTAATTCGATTTGGAATACTGTGTATATTTATAACGGTATATTTAATTCTTATTGACACAAATTTTACAACTATATTAAATATTAATATCGCAAAGTTTGTATTTTTTTTTTTAAATGAAATAATATTGTTTCCAAGTTTTTTTTTTTTATCTTAAGTCTAATTAAATGTTTATTACATTGTATCCATGTGTCATGAGATGAGTTGAAATAAAATGTATGTATGTAAATATTGTATTCAATGTCTTCAAATATCAAAAGTATGCTGGAAGCCATGAAGAGAGCTTATATAGGCAAAGCCTGTTGCTAAATCCTTTTGTTTAATCAATAAAATATATTTGAAATGAAAAAGAGTGTTTGAGTAGAATTGTCATTTCACTCAGAACATGTGATCGCCGGAGACTTGCTGTAGTTCACTTACACTCCTGTCTTTTGGAAGTAACCATGATTTTTACGTAAGATATTGTCATTGAAATGATGACGGTTCCTGTGGTAGTTAAACAGATGGGTTAACGTGGATTATTACTTTATTTTACGATGGAAACTGGAATCCGGTAAAAACAAAAATTTACCTAAATCAATTCAATATTTATGTACATATATTATGAGTATATTATACTGTGAAACGTCCATTGAACTGTTTATTGTAGAAGGATCGACCTCCACTTGACGGCGTATATGGAAAACCGGGTTTGGCCCATTTTTATTCAAGTCGTCCTGGACAGTACGGCATTTGTACAAATTTATGTATATACATACCATTTGGAAGCGAAATTCCATTCCTTTCATAAAATAATAACAAAAGGGCAAAAACTTTTGTATTTGAAGAACTTCTTTCGGAGGATTCAATGGCCGAACCTGCCTCATCTTAAGGCAAGTTAGGACAGGTAGTCTTGGTCAAGTTCGGCCCACATTAATAATGATGTCATAAAACTTCCAACCTCAGTTTTTCCCGCAAATTTCACGGCTTTTCATGTTTTGCATGGGCCGAACCGGTCCCGGTACCGTTGGCTGAACCTGTCCTAAATTCAATAGATTCGTTTATTACAGCCATACGAAAGTCAGTGCTAGGCTTTTGTGTAAACCATCATGTGAAACTGTCAGTGTGTTACACATATGCCGTACAAAAATGTAAGTAGTGATTCTGTTTATAGAAAGTCACAAAATCACAAAACTAGAAAGCATAACTTGCCCAGGTCTGTCCTACGGTAGTATGAACGCAGTTGGCAACGATATAAGCTATGGTGCGTGTTCCTTTGATATTTTTGCGGTGGAATGTACCAGAATGAAGCCGCCATTGTTTACTTTATCGTCAAAGAGATTTGAATCCGCCGAGCTTTTTTCACTGCGTATAAGCAAATGTATAGCCAGTCAGAATTCACCAAGCCGCAGAAGGAAGATAATATATACGTGAATTGTATATGCAGAAGTAAAATGTCCATAAAACATAATACAAAATTCTTTTGCAACGCGTGCTTTGATTGGAAACGGATAGTGTCATTTATAAACATATTAAGCCCCGCCCACCACACATGAATCAAGCCCTGATGTTTACCATAACAACATGACGGTTCTAGCATGTTCCATAAGGGGGCGTGCAGTGTATTGTTGTATGTTTAAATGTTACTGTAGAACATTCGCTGTACTGTATATTATATGTGTTATTTTAACAGGTCCATGGTACTGATTATTGTATATCAGACTATATATAACGAAAAGGATACATTTGACATCAATAAGCACGTTTGTATATCAAAACGACATCTTGAACATTTATTTTAAATTATCTTTTTTTTTATTTTGATGGAGAGAAATATAAATGAATATTTGAATATTATTTCGAGTTTGCTGTTATAATCCTTGTACATTTGAACTTAAGTACAGATTCCACAGTGTTTAGGGCACATCAACTTGGCTGCCTGTATGTTATCACAAATTTTCATGGCATCCAGGGAAGCACAGTTTGTATCCGACTTGTCTGCACACGGCCCGGTACCCGCTGAAGCAGAAGGGGAACAACAGTTAGTCATTATGACTATTGGGTGGGTGACAGCAAGAATATCTCTGTCTAATTTTTCAATTAAATGAAGATTGACCATTATACAATGGTAACAGTGATGATAGTTTCCTAGATGTGCAAGGATTGTTGATGATAAAGATATCTTGTTACAATGCTGTCTAAGGTGTCCATGTAAAGGCAATCAAAGCCTATTGTTTTTAGGTTTTCGATTGGATCATACCTTCCAATTCGATGACGCGGATATCTTTGTGTAAGAAATAATACCTTTCACTTCAGTGACGCGGATATCTTTGTGTAAGGTATGATACCTTCCAATTCGATGACGCGGATATCTTTGTGTAATGAATGATACCTTCCAATTCGATGACGCGGATATATTCGTGTAAGAAATGATCCCTTCCAATTCGATGACGCGGATATATTCGTGTAAGGAATGTTACCTTCCAATTCGATGACGCGGATATCTTTGTGTAAGGAATGATACCTTCCAATTCGATGACGAGGATATATTCGTGTAAGAAATGATACCTTCCAATTCGATGACGCGGATATATTCGTGTAAGGAATGTTACCTTCCAATTCGATGACGCGGATATATTCGTGTAAGAAATGATACCTTCCAATTCGATGACGCGGATATATTCTTGTAAGGAATGATACCTTCCAATTCGATGAGGCGGATATATTCGTGTAAGGAATACCTTTCAATTTGACGATGCAGATTTCTTTGTCATTTAAGGAATTATACCTTTTTATTCGGTAACGCGGATATCTTTGTGTAAGGAATGATAGCTTTCAATTCGATGACGCAGATGTTTTTGTGTAAGGAATGATTCCTTCCAATTCGATGACGCGGATATCTATGTGTAAGGTAAGATACCTTCCAATTCGATGACGCGGATATCTTTGTGTAAGGAATACCTTTCAATTTGACGATGCAGATATCTTTGTTATTTAAGGAATTATACCTTTTTATTCGGTAACGCGGATATCTTTGTGTAAGGAATACCTTTCAATTTGATGATGCAGATATCTTTGTTGTGTAAGGAATGATACCTTTCTATAACCCCCGTTACACATCTAGATTTATGAGAATCTTGCTGCAGATATGGCAACTTCCTCATCAATGATGATTGTTGAGAGGGATGAACTCCCTGCTACAGATATGATATTTTGTGTCGTCATTGTTAGAGAAACTTACATCCAGTATGGGGATTGTCGATGGTCAGAATGTCCTTGTTACATAGAGGTGTGGTACAGCATTTAACCTGTGTAGTCTCGCCACTTGCTTGTCTTGTTGAACGACGTCCTACTAATGAACCGTGCGATAGCGCGTCACAAACCTGACAAATAATGAACACGGCTTTGTTTTTAAGATAGAAGGCATAAACATTTTGGTTTTAACAAAACGAGGTTCCTTTTCTTCATATTTACACAGGACAAAACATATTGTACTTTTAACAAACAGACAAATGTCACAGTAAATATTGACTCAGCAGCATCATACATCAAAAAACACTTCATAAATATTGATATATCAACTAATTTTGAAAGAAAGATATCTACTTTTCAAAATAAATATAACCCACCAGCAAACAATGACAGAGNCGGATATCTTTGTGTAAGGAATGATACCTTCCAATTCGATGACGCGGATATCTTTGTGTAAGGAATGATACCTTCCAATTCGATGACGCGGATATCTTTGTGTAAGGAATGATACCTTCCAATTCGATGACGCGGATATATTCGTGTAAGGAATCCCTTTCAATTTGACGATGCAGATATCTTTGTTGTGTAAGGAATGATACCTTTCTATTCGGTGACGCGGATATCTTTGTGCAAGCAATGTAACTTTTCAATTCGATTGTTTTTAGGTTTTCGATTGGATCATACCTTCCAATTCGATGACGCGGATCTCTTTGTGGAAGGAATGATACCTTCCAATTCGATGACGCAGATATCTTTGTGTAAGAAATGATACCTTTCAATTCGATGACGCGGATATCTATGTGTAAGGTATGATACCTTCCAATTCGATGACGCGGATATCTTTGTGTAAGGAATACCTTTCAATTTGACGATGCAGATATCTTTGTTATTTAAGGAATTATACCTTTTTATTCGGTAACGCGGATATCTTTGTGTAAGGAATACCTTTCAATTTGATGATGCAGATATCTTTGTTGTGTAAGGAATGATACCTTTCTATAACCCCCGTTACACATCTAGATTTATGAGAATCTTGCTGCAGATATGGCAACTTCCTCATCAATGATGATTGTTGAGAGGGATGAACTCCCTGCTACAGATATGATATTTTGTGTCGTCATTGTTAGAGAAACTTACATCCAGTATGGGGATTGTCGATGGTCAGAATGTCCTTGTTACATAGAGGTGTGGTACAGCATTTAACCTGTGTAGTCTCGCCACTTGCTTGTCTTGTTGAACGACGTCCTACTAATGAACCGTGCGATAGCGCGTCACAAACCTGACAAATAATGAACACGGCTTTGTTTTTAAGATAGAAGGCATAAACATTTTGGTTTTAACAAAACGAGGTTCCTTTTCTTCATATTTACACAGGACAAAACATATTGTACTTTTAACAAACAGACAAATGTCACAGTAAATATTGACTCAGCAGCATCATACATCAAAAGACACTTCATAAATATTGATATATCAACTAATTTTGAAAGAAAGATATCTACTTTTCAAAATAAATATAACCCACCAGCAAACAATGACAGAGCATGTATACCAAAGTCTCACAGTAAATATACCCCATCAATTTACACAAATATAACATGGATTCCAAAGTCTCACAGTAAATATACCCCATCAATTTACACAAATATAACATGGATACCAATGTCTCACAGTAAATATACCCCATCAATTTACACAAATATAACATG